CACGTTTACCTAACTGTTGCTGGACAAATGCTTGCTTTATTTTTCCAAAGAAATCTACGTCATTAATTGGTGCTTAAAAAAGATCCAGCTTTCTGGGCAGAGGGAGGCTGAACTGCAGCTCTTCCACTTCGTCAATTTCAGCAAGTATCACATCCGGCAGATACCGGAGGAGCAGGCGGCAAAGATGACAGATGCTCTGTTGTGAAAATCGAAGCGCCCTTCTGTCTTCTCGTCCTCGCAGAGGGCTAACCCACTGTGGGTCTAGTCCACCTGAGCTGCTATAACAAACTGCCATAGACTGGGCAGTGTATAAACAACAGAAATTTATTTCTCACAGTTTTGGAGGCTGGGAAGTCCCAGACCAAGGCCCTGGCAGATTGCGTGTCTGGTGAGGGCTGCTCCTCACAGAGGACAACGTCTCACTGTGTCCTCACATGTTGGAGGGGGCAAGGCAGCTCTCTGGGGCCTCTTTTATAAGGGCGTTAATCCCACCACGAGGGCTCCACCCCCCATGACCTAATCACCCCGCAAAGGCCACCTCCTAATACTATCGCATTGAGGATTAGTTTCAGTGTATGAATTTTGGGGGGCACAAGCTTTCAGACAATACCACCCACTCTTTGGAGACCCGTGTTTTTCTCAAAACTAAGCTTTGCCTCTGCCTGAATTCCTGGAAAGACCTTAGCTGACACCCAGTTTCCCATTCCGTAGATTGCAGAAAAGGGCCATTAGGTCTGGAAAATGTTCCAGGTTGGTGGCATCAGTCACTTGCCTTGTTAAGTTTTCAGTTCACGGTAAAACATTCTTTTGCTTTTGGAGAACTAGTTTTAAAAACAACCTTGGGGTGGACACTCTGATGCCATCAGCTTTGGGATTCTGTTTTATTAACTCTTTGATGTCAGATTCCTTCTTCATTGTTGACACTGAACCGGATCTGTTGGCAGCTGTTCTCGGCTCCCCGGCCACCCCCGCCTCTGTGGGAGGCAGCATGGCTTGCTCATACTAGCCAGCTGCGGGTTTGAACCCTGGTTCTGCCCTTTACTAGCTTGGACAAGTTACTTGCTCTCTGAGCCTCAATGTCTTCATCTGAAAAATGGAAATAATGTCACGTTTCCTCTGGATTAGTAGTGAGGATTCAGTGTGATAATTATGCAAAATATGGAGCATAGCACAAGTGAGTAGAAAAGATGTAGTACAGTCGGGTCCAAGGGCAACTGAAGGGTTCAGGAATAGTAGCTGGGAACAGTTATGGTTTATAAGAACAGAGACTTGTTCTTAGGCGCTAGACAGAGTCTCCTAGCAGAGCATACAGGGCCAGGGGCAGAATGACAACGCAACAAAAATAGTGTATTTGTTTATTCATTCTCTGTCAATATTTACTGAGCACCTATTGTGTGCCAAATGCAGATCTAGCCACTGCTGGCACAGCCCGTGAGGATGTCTGTTCCAGAGTGGGAGAGACCCAACTAAGCCAGCCCTTTCCATACGGGAGCTCCTCTGCCCATGAAGAAGTTGAGTTCTGAAAAGATCATCTGCAGTTTGCAAGCCCAAGTGACCACGAGGAGTTTGGGGTTGCAGTTTCTGGCTGCACTTCTACCAAACAGAAGTGTGGGTCGGCCACCAAAACTGTGCAACCAGACATGTGCTTTTTTCTTTTTAGTGATGTCTGTTTTATGGGACATCATTTCTCAAAGTAGACAAAGTGCGGTGAAAAAAATCTGTTGAGCATGGAGTGACATAAGCTTATACAACGCATCAGTGTCTCCATCTGATTTCTTGGAGTAAAAATGCATTTCTGTAGGAAGAGATAAAAGATGAGTGAAGTACGAACCTTATCATTAAAAATAATTATCGCAGGCTGGTGAGATTCGGGGGCAATTACATCCTATTTTTTTAAACCTTGTCTGCATTTCACAATTTGTTTTCCTAAAATGAACATGTGTTGCTCTTGTAACTTAGACAAACTTATTATTTTGAATCACAAGCCACAGATGGCTCCATAGGCCCAAGGTCTGCTGTGATCTGAGCAGCATCAGAGGGAGGGGTGCAGGAGGGGACTGGAGAGAGGAGAGGCAGGAGGGGCCGGGGTGCGGAGCTGTGAGGGACAGGTGGGAGGGAGGAGAGGCTCGAGGGAGCAGAAGCTACCGGGCTAACGCTGTGCTGCGTGTAGAGGGCCGAGCAAGACAGCTGCCACCGGGTGGGTCTAGGTTTTGTGGGATTGTCTTTTAGTTTTGCATTGCCACGATAATGCTGCAACACACTGCCTCGAACTCAGTGGCACACAAGTTTGTGCGTCAGCAATTTAGTCTGGGGCCTTTCTGGTCTCAGTTGGCCTCCCTCGCATTTCTGGGGAGCCATCAGCTGGTGGCTGTCAGCTGGGGCAGCTCGGCTCTGCCTTGTGTGTCCGTGAGTCCGTCCAGCAGGCCTGCCTGGGCGTGTTATCCGGCAACAGCAGAGGTGCAAGGGGGAGGGGGGAAATAGATCCATCTTTTTCAGGAGAGGGACTATGAAGTCAGAGGGTGTGTATCCAGGGAGGCATCGCTAATCGATCTACCATGGGCCTGGGGCTGATACAATTCTGCGGGCCCTTTTGAAGAAAAAGGATTTCCCAAGTTAGGGATACAAAATTCAGTACAGGGTCTTGAATGGATCCTGACTAAGTGAGGGGTGTTGTTTAAGCTCCATCAGCTTCAGGGCAATCCCTAGAAGCCCCCACCGAGTGCAGCCGAGGAGGGGAGCACAGTGGAGCCACAGCGGTGCTTGCGGCAGAGCCCAGAGCGAAGTCCTCAGTGAAGCCCCTCCAGCCCGAGGGCCTGCGTTCCGAGCGAGCGTCTGCCCAGGTGCCTGTGAAGTCTGGCTGCCGCTGTTTCCTGTTGCTTCTCCATTGAGAGGTGGTGCAGTTCTTTGGTTTTCTTCAGTTCCACCTGGTTCAGACTGGTTTTGTGATTCTCAAGTGGGCTGTGCAACAAACTTCCTGGGGAACTTCTGTTGCAGAGTGGGAGAGACCCGCGGCCCTTTCAGTATAGGAACTCCTCCTCCTGGGAGCAGGCTGGGTTCTGAAAAAGTCATCTGCAGTTTGCAAGTCCAAAGGGACCAAGCGAAGTTGCTTTAGCACGTCTCTGTCTTTGTAACCAGGAGAACCCAACAAATGCATTAACACACACACCCACGCACTTCAGTACTTGAATATACACAGGCACACACATGTATACACATACCACTAGCATACACACGTGCAATACAACATGTGTACACACAGCTTGTCCTCACAAACATGAGCATGCACAAAACGTGTGCACGCGTGCATGTATGCACATATACAAGTGCACGCACATACACACATAGGTGCTTTAGGGCAGGGAGAGTCTCAGGTGACCTGTCTGATCCCTTCTTTCACAGATAGGAACACGGAAGCTCTGGGAGGGAACTGACTCAGGCAGAAGTCAACGCCCAAGCCGGGATTAGGGCCTCAAATGGGTTTTTGAGGACACAGAGCCCCCAGAACAGCCAATTCTCCTGTATCCCCATGGGCACATGATTCTCTGGCCTTGATTCAAAGGGGAATCTTCCTCGGGGGGCCGTGTCTGGGAGGGGCCGGAATCGGAGGATGAGGCTACAGGCAGGGCTTGTGGTAGTCAGTTCTCTTCACTCCTTGCTGCCTGTGCCCAGGAGAGGAAATGTTGTCCCTTAACCCTTGTTTCCCAGGACTGCCTCACTGTGCTTAATTCCTGGTCACTTCCCTGGAAGCCGGTGGCTTCCCTGCAGCAGAGGGCTGATGTGTGTCAGTGTCCCCACCCAGTGCCCTGGGCAGAGGACCCGTGGGCAAGCAGTGGAGACCAAAGGGCTGGCCAAGCCTCTCCTGCTTCCCCGGACTGTTGACATTACTTTATGGCTGCAGATATGTAAAGTGAGAGGCCACCTCTGGCCACATCCTGGAAAAGCCATAGCTTGTCATCTGCTGTGTTTTTCTGTGCAAATAACCTCCCTGCACTCTTATTCATTCCTGATTAGGGTGTGAGGGGTTGTTTTCCTCCTCGGAACTCACTGTCTTGTAAAGATGTCCCAGGGTGTGGGACACTTGGCGAAAGTGGCTCCAGGTGCAGAATGTGAGAAAGGCCCAATACTTTTGTAACCCCAGTGCTCTGCCCTGGGGGCTCTCTGAGATACGGCTGGAGGGGAGAGGGGAGGTGAGCATGGTTGTCAGAAGGGAGCAAGGCAGGCAAAGCTAGGGCTTCCTCTCTCTTTTTCTTTCTTTCTTACCTCAATAAATAGCTATTATAAGGTGGGGGTGGGAGTGAGGGGGTGATATTCACAAGCAATGAGCTGGTTCTTCTGGGAGGAGTCCCTGGAACAATTGACATGTTTCTGGAGGTTTCAGGCTAGTGTAGGTATCCGTGGCCTCTCACCTGGTATGTGTGGGGGGCAGTATAAGAGTTTCTGTTATTCTCTGGACAAAGTCCCTCTTGCCCCTGGGCCACCAGTGTCCTGCCTGCATCTCCCTGCTCTTTGAGACCCTCTCCTTGCAGTCTGGTTTTGATGCGCCTGCAGCCTCCTCACCCCCTCATTCCAATCTTAGCCCTGGAATCTCTCCTCTGGCTTTCTGACTTTGGCCCCAAGCCCCCTCAATCCCGATGAACTCCTGGCCTTCTGGGCTCCTGAGAACCTGGCTACACCTGAACTCCCAGGTTTAGGGCATTCTGCCCATCAGCCTTGGCTCACCAGGCCCCAACCCGCCTACCGTGGAGAAGGATGGGTAAGGGCTGGCCAAACCCGGTGGGCTGTGTCTGCGGATTTCCAGAAGACAGAGAAGGAGCCCAAAGTTCTCTTTTTAGAGAAGCCGCGGTAGCTCCGGACAGGGAGGTATTTCTCAAAAGGTTGCTCATGCTCACTCCGACGTCTTGCATTGCTAACTGCCTTGAAATTTCACCCATTCCACCAACTTCCTCTTTTAGTCTCATTCACAGTGGGAAGTGACCGAAGGAGGAAGCGCCAGGGCGAGAGTGAGCGAGAGCAGAAGGTGGCAGATGAAGGAGCGGAGCCCGTAGCTGGCTCTTGCTGACGGCCAAGGGGACCAGTGCGAAGAGAAAATGCACCTGCCGACACTCTTCCTCCTCCTCTTCTGGCTCTCAGGTGAGCGGGCCTGCGCTGTCTCGGGGAAAACTCAGCCAGCAGGAAGTGGCGGCAGAGGGAGGAGGCACGAGCCTTGTGTGTTTCAGCCACGCGCACACGCCCTCGCCCAGTGTCTCAGCACCTACGGTTGCTGGGGCAGGAATGGTCAACGTGGCCTTTATGATAAACCCAGCACAAGGCATGACTCCTGGCCACCCCCAGGGGCTGATGACATAAAATGGACAGACTGATGGGTCCCCACACTCCCCCACACACCTGGCCAGGGAAAAGCGGAAGAGCCCGGGTTGCTCAGGAGAGCCGGGTGGACACCTGATCCTGGACAGGACTGTCACCTTCGTGAATGAGTTATGAGCAGGAAGGCTTCGGGGTAGAAGTGGGGGTGGAGGGGCTCTGAAGGAAGGAAAGAGTGGGTTTGCCAGGCAGGGAGGGAGCGGCGATTCTAGACATTTGGGGCAGGAGGGAGGGTAAAAGTTGCGGAGGGACTGAGATAGGGGCAGAGACCCACATCTGAGGGCTAAAGAAACCTTAAATTGGTGGATATCATTTTGATTAAAAACAAAGGGGATTTTCCTGACTTTTAAACGTTGGAGACTCCAGGACTCAGCCAGGGCTGCTTCTCTATCTGGAGTCCCTCCCTTGCTGAGCTCATCTACTCTCTTGGCTTGAAAGACCACCTCTGTGCAGGTGACCTGCAGTTTAGCATCCCCAGCCTAGACACGGCTCCCAGGACTCCAGAATCTCACATCCAGCTGCCTACTCAGCATCTGCGCTCAGATGTTGACTTTTCAAACGGGACCTGGCCAAGTCTCCCCACTTGAATCCCTTGCCCCCGAGTCTTCCCCATATTTGTGTTTGGCAACTCCATCTTTCTCAGTGCCCAGAAAAATCTGGGACATCCATCTCTTTCTGTCATACCATGTGCTGATCCTTGGAAAATGTGAGCCAGATCACGCCTCTCCTCTGGTCAAAACCCTCCAGTGACCTCCCAGCCTACTCAGTGTGGAAATGCAAAGTCCTTACAGAGGGTACAAGGTGCTCACAATCTCGTTCCCCTGCTGTGTCACCTCCTGGTATCTTCTTCTACCCTTCTCCTCCCGGCTCAAAATACTCCAGCCACACTGGCCTCTTAGATGTTCTTTGAATGAGCTAGGCACATTGTGGCCTCAGGGCCTTTGCACTTGCTGTTCTTTCTGCCCAGAATGTTCTTTCCCAGAGAGCCACAATCTCCAGTCCCTCACGTCCTCCAAGTCTTTGCTTCTCATTGAAGCCTTCATTGGTGACCCTGATTAAAATCACAATTCCCTTGCATTATTTTTCTTCATTGTTTGTCTCTTCCCATCCCCTATTTTGATAGACTGTAAGCTTCAAGAGGGCAGGGATTTTTGTGCTTATAACCGTACTAGGTACTTATTAGACAAATAATAAGTGTTCGTTGAATAAGTGACTATGTCCAATAGACAGGGAATAATATGATTGCCGTCACGTTCCTTCCCCAATCTTTCTCTTTCTACTTTCATAAAACTGAACAGTTAAAACTCTTAAAATTGATTGGAGAGGACATACATTGCTGATGGGAATGTACAAGGGTGCAGCCACTTGCGAAACAATTTGGCAGTTCCTTAAAAATGTTAAAGATAGAATTACAACATGATTGAGCAAGTCCAGTTCTAGGTATATACCTAGGAGAACTGAAAACACGTGTCCGTGTAAAAACTTGTACATAAGTGCTCATGACAACATTATTCATAATATCCAAAATGTGGAAACAACCCAAATGTCCATCAATTGATGGATGGATAAATGAAATGTGGCATCTCCATCCAACGGAATACTATTCAGCCATAAAAAGGAAGGAAATGCTGATCCGCATTACAACGTGGATGGACCTTGGGACATCACGCCACGTGAGAGAAGCCAGACACTGACGCCATCCGCTGTATGATTCCGTTCCTATGAAATGTCCCGAAGAGAAAAATCTATAAAGACGGAGAGTGGATTAGTGGTTTCCAAGGGCTGGGGAAGGGAGTCAGGGGAGTGAGTGCTAATGAGCATGGTTTTTTTTCTGTGGGGGAGGGTGACGAAAAAATTCTGGAATTAAATAGTGATGATGGTGGTGCAATTTTGGGACTGTACTAAAAAACCACTGAGTTGTACATTTTAAAAGGGTGAATTATACGGTAGGTGAATTATATTGCAATAAACAAATAATGGAGAGCAGAGAGAAGGGGAGCAGTAGCGTTCTCCCTGGGGGTAGCACGTGGCAAGCGTGTAGATCGGAAGCTCTGGAGAGGGGCGTTCATGGCAACTGGGCGGCCCTTAATGGCTTGTGACGTTTTCATGTGGTCTGATTTGATCCATCAGTCACAGAAATGAAAAAGATAATTTCAAAAAGTGGTGAGTACTGTGAGGAAAACAACAAGATGCCATGACACGGTGGGATGGGGCAGGGGAACTGAAAGGACCCCTCTGAGCAGGGTCTCGGACGTCTGTCTGAGCTGAGACCGGGAAGAAGAGGGAGGGGAAGGGGCAGGCACTTAGGAGCAGGGCTGGCCTTCCAGGCACAGGGGACAGAGAGGGTAAAGGGCTCTGGAAACGAGCTTGGCCAGCACGTTTGAGGAACAGAGAGGTCAGCATGGCTTGTCACATGCTTCGGAGCAGCCCGGTGGGGCCGGTCACAGGTATATCATTATCTCTTTGGGCAATAGGTCACAAGGGAGGAAAGTGACCTGCCCAGGACTGCAGGGGGGGTGAAAGCAGAGTGAGGAGTGGTTTTGGGACACGCGGCCCCGAGTTCCAGCGTGGAAACGGCGGAGGTGGGTTGTGGGTGAGATGCTCGGAGATGCGCGGGCCAGGCAGGGAGAGGACGGCCGGGACTGTGTTCTCCTGACATCTGGAAACGGAGGAGCTTGGTGGCGAGCAGATGTGAGTCGCGCTGGGATGTGTGTGGCCGGGTGTGACCGAGGCAGGCTGGAGGTCGAGCCGGACGCAGCGGCACCTGCTAACGTGGGACTGGGCGCCGCTGGGAGCCCCTGGGCCTTGGCCCGGCCAGCGTCTCCGGCACGAGCTCGGATCGCCAGCAGCAGATGCACCCAGCGCTACTTCCCTCTTCTAAAGAGTCCATTGTTTTAAAATACTTAAGAAAAAAATTACTGACCAGAAAGTTCATTTTCTGTGACAAAGGAAGCGTTATTTTGGATTTTTTTTGCACTCAAAGAAGTCCATCTGCAAGAAAGGAAGAGATTTTTGACGACCCTATTTTTTTCAGAGGAAAATGAACTGCTGTGTCCAACCTCAGCCACATCGTACGTGGTGGCAGAGACGGAAGGGGCCCCGGGTGTGCTGACCCGCAGTGGAGACCAGCTGGTGTCCTGTGCCCAGCTACAGACGGGCCAGGCCTGATCCTGTCGCCCTCTGACTGTGTGCAAGTCACTTGTCTCTGGGGCCCAGGTTCCTCCTGCTCTGGGGCGATCTGGCGTGGTGCAGGCTGGGGGTACCTGTCTGAGGAGAGGGCTGCTCCCCAGCGCTCAGCGCTGCCACCTGTGTCAGGAGGGTCTGGCCAGCAGGACTGGTGCTCTGCCCGGGTTGGATGGGACGTGGGCGCCAGGGACAGAGGGGTCCAAGCAGTGAGTGGGGCAGATGGTTCAAAGGTCCGGCCCAACCCCAATGCTCAGACGAGAGCCCAGGGGACTCGCTTAGGAGGCGAGATGGGCTAACGAGTGACCCCGGGTGGGGTGGTGTCTGTATTAGTTTCCTCTTGCTGCTGTGACAAAGTACCCCGGCACCAGTTATTATGTTAGGTTCCAGCGGTCGATCGGGAGTTCTATTAATAAAATCAAGGTGTTGGCAGGGTTGCATTCCTTCTGGAGACTTTAGGGGGAGCATCCATTTCCTTGACTTTTCCAGCTTCCAGAGGCTTCCAGCATGTTTTGTCTTGTGGCCCCACGTCATTCTGGCCGTTGCTTGTCCCCACGTCTCCTTCTCTGGCTCTCACCCCCGTCTCCCTCCCATAAGGACACTTGTGCTTACAATAAGTCCCACCCGGATGATCCAGGACACTCCCCCATCTCGAGGTCCTTAATCACAGCGGCAAAGTCCCTTTGGCCACGTGAAGGACACATTCTCAAGTTCTGGGGATTAGGAAGTGGACATCCTCACAGAGTCATCACTCTGCCCACTGTACCGTCGGACGGCTTGTTCCAGGCATTAGGTTTTCCCAAGATTTTGGACATAATAAATGCTCATTGTAGACACTTAGGAAAGTCCAGAAAACAAATGAAGAATTAGTGGGGGAAAAACCTCTTCTGTCCACAATCTTGATGCCCAAGGCAACCAGTTGTTCACTTTTTGACTTACTTCCTTTTAATTTTTTTTCTATGAATGTTTTAAAGGTTAGTTGAGATTATACTATAGATGAGATTTTTAAAAACCCATTTTTCCACGGTGGCTCATGCCTGTAATCCCAGCACTCTGGGAGGCTGA